AGCAGATACAGGTAGAAAACATCAAACCCTTTAATTGCAGAGGATAAAATATATATGTTCAAATCTTCCTGCAAGAAAGTTAGCTTCTCCTTGGCTTGTTGTGATTTTTACTATGTTTCTGTTATGAATTTCACGCAACCTATTGTTTTCCAGGTGTGCTGGAGTTAGTGAGACAAGAGGAGATTACCCTTTCAGCCACCATAAGCTTACCGTCCAGTTTATGAACCATCAGCTGTCAAGACAGAAAGTTAGAAGGATTAATTCACAAGGACATTCTAGAGCGTTGGAGACCAAAGTCTAGTGAATTAACTCTCTTAACTTCAAAAGAGGGCAACTCTACTTCTATCAAGATTCCTCCATAGCATATCCTTTGACTGGAAGTAGTGATCCCTGCTATATAGAAGTTTACATTTAGCAGATACAAATGATGGAAGGGTCACAATGTATTTGAAGGTTTGTATACAAATAAGTTGTTGAAGTTTAGCGTCCCAACACCTCATTTGTATTTGTGCGTTTTGAAAGCTTGAATTGAATCGTGTGGATTATTAATTCATGGATGGTTCTCCTCAAGCAGTGCGGCAGTTGCAGGTTCCAGGGGAAGGCTTGTAGGACTGCGAGATGGTGGCTAACTGTGGAGGAGGAGAGTAACGGTGAGTGGTTAAGGATCCGACGAAACGTTTAGTTTCTTCAAAACGGGTGTAGACGGAGGTGAAACAATAACAGTGATGGCGAAAGAAGGAGATGAGAAAGAGAGGAAACGATTACGTTCATGTCGTGGATAAGGATTTGAAAGCCACATAAAAAAGTTGGGATTTGTTTTCTCTTGTTTTTTATTAAAAAGTACGTCCAAATCTATAATAACTAATTTCTCATAAAATCTATGGTGATATTGAATAACAGGTGAAATTAATTCCTTTCAAATTCTATTTGACAAATCCTTAATCCAATAACACTGGATAAATCACAATTATTCTTGGTCATTTAATACAGATATGGGTTCATGCTTTTGAACCCATTTGAATACCCGAAAAAGATATATCCTGGGTTTACTTTCTCTTAGAAATTACTCTAGACTAGCTGCATAACCCCCGCGCAAGCGCGGGGCCGGGATCTGTGTTTTTTTCGGTTGTTGGTTTAGCAGGTTATTCTAATAATACCAAATAATGATGAAATGGAAAGAGTGTAGCAAGAGTGCAAAGTGAAAATATTATATATATAATGTGTTAAATGTTATTTATATGCGAAATAAGGTTTATAGGAATAACTAAATTATAATATAGCTTTTAGTGTATAAAAATAGATGTCTATATTGTTTTTTTTATGTTGGAAATAGTTTTTATATCGGATGTCAAAACTTGATATAAATATTTATTTATAATATTTATATTTGTACTAAACGATTTATCAATTTGAAAATAGCTTTAATTTAAGTTAATATTTGTTGTTTGGGTTTCAATAGATAGGTTTGAATATGTTTTTTTGTAAGTTTGGATTTTGTTCATGAATAATGTGGTATTTTTGTTTACGGCGTCATCGACTGTGGAAATCCATCCGCCGGAGTCTGATAAAAATGAAATTATAGTAACTATTAAAAATTGAAGAGAAATTACATAGTTATTTTATAAGTAACAAAACTATTTATTTTATTTTATTTCACATACATAATTTTTTGAAAATATATATTAGGAAATGTGTTCTAACAGTAAAAATATATATTAAGACATGATAGTGCCGCGTGAGACTCCTTTTTTTTTTTTTTTTTTTGGATGTTCGTTTTTTGATCAATTTTTAATTGTTTTTGGGTTTGAGTTCGTCAAACTTTATGATTTTTCCACTATTTTGGGCTTTAAATAATAAGTCCAGAGGAAAAAAAAAACATAAAAACATTAAAACTAAAAAGCCCATATGATAATAATCCAAAAGAAAAAATTAAAATACATAACAGCTGCGTGGTTTGAACCCTCACACTTACAGACTTAATTAAATGCCTTATACCACTTTGCTAAAATGTATTCATTGTTCATAGTCATTTTAAAAAAACTATAAACTTTTAAAATTTAAATACGCGAGATCCACTCGGCTGCTGATGTTGATAGCCTTAGGAACTTCAAAAGTGAATCATTATTATATAGATTTCTCTATGGATCTAGAATACTCAAGATTAATAAAAAAAATGCATCAGTTGTCACTGTATGCGTTATTTTGTAAATTCATAATAGCTTAATTTATTTCGGGTTTGGTTTGGTAATCATTCTATAAGACTTTGTATGTACGTTATTATGCTTCCGCCGCTTCTTTTACGGGCCACGATCAAACGTTATACAACTATAAATTAGTTCATTTAAAATTTTAAATAAACAACAAAATTGTAATAATGGCTGGCAGAAAAATAATAATGCGAATGCGAAAAATCACATAATATTTGCCAAGTTGGCTAGTGTGCATTCTAGAGAAAAAGAAAGAAGAAAAGGTGAAAATTACAACTCAGCCCCTTTATATTACTGGTCACTGGACTAGTAGACTCGGGGCCACACGAGTCGTTATCAGTAATCTCCACAAGTACGGATGATTATTTACTAATTAATTTATTTGATGGTTAGAATTATTCGAATTATAATATTAATGATCAAGAGAGATTCCCAACGGCAACAAAAAGGAGCACGCCGTTGAAATTAAATCGACCGGTCAAAGGTCAAACTAGCATTACTCTTTACACTTTATTTTAAAAATGATTTAAATGATAGGGAATTTAAATTTAAGTAGTTATGTTTAGTAACTTAAAGTGTGATTATAGAAAGACAACTGGACACGACGGTATATATTGTACAAACTGAGGCTACAAATGTAATAAACATGCTTTGTATTAATAAACACGTTTTTTTTCTTAGAGGTCGTACGCTTATTCCACTTTTGGTTCCCACATCGAAAATAAGAGATATTATTTTTGAAATAAAACAATTTTTTCTAAATGAATTTTTATATAAGATAATGTATATGTTATACAATTTTCCAGGTGAACCGAACCGTATCAAGCTGAAAAAAAAAACTAAACCAAATTTCATAAATAATCGATCATATCATATATTTTCTGGAACCGAAAAATAGAAACCGAACCGAGAACCAAATGGGTATTTAAAATTTTTAAAATATAAATTATATTCCAACAAATAGTAGTTATATATAATATTTAAATATTAAATATCCTGAAATATTATTTAAACCAAATTAGGCAAAAAATAAATTACCCGAATATTTTCTATTCAAAATATTGAAGATATTCAAACTATCTGATATTTAAATTGTAGGATAGTTTACATTTAAAATTAAATAAAAACGTATCATATGCATAGTTAGAATTTGTAAAGTAAATAAACATCTATACTATTATAATCTCCAACCCATTTTGACCCATTTTATTTTTATATATACAATTAATCATTTAGTTCATGTATTAAAATGTAATATCAAATTTTAATAATTGATTGCATGTAATTAACTAAATCACTGTTTCGTAGTTGAATATTAGACACTAAAGCTTTTTAACTTCCAATTTATGTAAAATTATTAAATATATTAAAGTATATAGAGATTTATTGTTAGAGTAATTATGTAGTAGATTATGGAAAGTAATAAATGAGTTCACTTAAATTATAAAGCATTTATATAGTTAGAAAAATAGTATTTATATAGTTAGAGAAATATAAGGGAAGATCAAAAAATGTTAATCTAATGAAAGGGTCCAAACAACTTGTATAAGTAGATTTTTTAGGGCTCCTTCTCTTTTAATAGTATTGATTGTCACTCTTAAACACTTATAGCTACTGAAGTACTGTTAATCAAGAAACCCTATATTAAAAAAAAAAATAGTCTCATTTATTAATTGGAAAATTAATTTTCTCATTGAAAAATAATTAGGTTGACAAAGAAGTGTAAGTTAATTAAAATAGACATACTTATGTATTTACATTTGTTTACTCTATTTTTATATAATTTCTAACCATAGTTAGGTTTTTTTACGAATAAGGATTTAGACCATGATTAATCCCAGTTTTTAACTGGAATTTTTAGTTTCGGTTAAAAGACGGTTTTTTTCTTTTCTTATATTTAACTAAAAAAATTGAAAACTGTCTTTTAAAGAAGAATTGCAAGAGCCGTTTTTAGCCAAAAAAGTTAAAAAACGTCAAATTATAAGTTAAAAACCCGTACTAAAATAAAAATTATGAGCCGTCAAATCATGAGTTAATAAAATCATGAGCCGTAAAATCATGGGGTAATCATGCCCTTATGAAATATATTTAGGCAATTCTTTCAAATAAATTTTATTAAGTTTTTATCACAAAATAGACTTCGAAAACACAGATGATGAAAATAACATTTTTTATTTTGAAAATTTTAAGTTTTTATTTTATTTTTTTAAAATGTAAAATCATATCCCAAAACTACACTGCTCAACTATAAACAAAAAATCTAAGATTAATTAACCCAAAAAGTATAATCTATATTTACTTATTTTTGATAAAACGTTTAAGTTATTTTGATCATTATTATTTTTAAGGCATATCCTAGAGAATTTCTCAATATTATTTTATTAATTAAATTTTGTCTCATTTTCATAATTACAAAAATGTATACAAAAAAGTATTAAGAAATGTGTTTTAACTGAGTGTGTAATTTAAATGGATTTTTGCGCCAAAAAAATGAAAAACTAATTGAGAAAATATTATAAAAAAACGAAACCGTCGACATCCAAAAAGACGAGAGTGTGTAATGTAATAACACGAATATATATATTCACCACCTCGCTTTCCAGCCTCTTCTCTCTCTTCTGCTTTTGTCTATCTCTCAGTATCACCGCCGGCAAGAAACTCCAGTTTGCTAACGTATAACACCATCCAAATCGAGGCAGTTAGGTTGATGATGGTGAAATGGATTCGTTCTGTGTTATCTAATCCACTCCTCAACTCTTTACTGGAGTAGCTAGGAACTGTGTGTTTGTTGTAATGGGGAAGGTGGCGGTTGCGTTTGCGGCGGCTGCGGTTGTGGCGGCTTGCTCGGTGGCGGCGGTGATGGTGAGCAGGAGAGTGAAGAGGCGGAGGAAGTGGAGGAATGTGGTGGAGATTTTGAAGGAGTTTGAGGAAGGTTGTGATACTCCTGTTGGGAGGTTGAGGCAAGTGGTGGATGCTATGGCTGTGGAGATGCACGCTGGTTTGGCTTCTGAAGGTGGCTCTAAGCTTAAAATGCTTCTCACTTATGTTCATGATTTGCCTAATGGGTAAGCTTTTTTCTTTTTTTAAATAATGGTTGCGTATTAGAAAATCATTCATTAATAGTAACGAGAAGGAGAGACTGTAGGTTCCGGTGAATGAAACATTTTGGCCCCCAAAATTTTGGAGAAAAAAATAAGCCTTGAATTTGTAAAAATAATATTACTAAATAGCCTCTCCTTCTGAGTAATGTGTAAATATGTTCTTCCTTCTGTTTGTAATGTTGTACATTGCTTGATCTATGTTCTTAAGTTTGCTAATTTACATTGATAGAGTAATGTGTGAAGATGAATTTTTTTTTCTTTTGTCTGTAATCTTGTTTGCTATCCGATTTATCAAAGGTTTGGTGATCTGATCTTTGGCTAAGTCAATACTTTTGTACCGATTCATATGGTACAATTTTCTTGATTTGTAATGTGAGTAAACGAGCTCAATTTTTGTTGTGGTGGCTCTAAAGAGAGCGTACCTTTTAAGAGTCCCAGTCTTTGAGCTTTAGTTGGAGCTAAGGAATTTAAAAGAAGTGTCAGTGGGTACCATTTCTCACAGGCACTGATTCTGTTCCTTTTTTTTTTTATACATATAGTGTAAAAGCTTGAAGGTGTTCTTCTTTTTTCGCTCTCTTATCTCTTGACCTTTACTTTGGTATCTTGTTCCTATCCCATAGATTGCGACTGTTCAAGGCAAATGCACTAGTTTCCTCATATTTTGTAGCCATTGGATTCTCTTTTCAGTGTTGCATGCGGCTCTTTTCTTAATGTTCTTAAGCAGTTCATTGACAAAGAAGAATTTATCTTATCAGATAGAATGTAACTAAGTGCATTTAGAGGTGTAGAGTTTGCAGTGACTGCTCTTTTTACTTCAGGACGGAGAAAGGAACTTATTACGCACTTCACCTTGGAGGCACTTATTTTAGGATATTAAGGGTTCATCTGGGTGGTGAAAGGTCATATCTAGATGTTCAAGATGTTGAACGACATCCCATACCTTCACATTTGATGAATAGCACCAGCGAGGTAGTGACTCTTCACTCTTTTATATCTCACCAGTCCTTTGCTTGCTTTTATTTAGTGTAAGTTATCTTTTTATTCACATGATTGCAGGTTCTTTTTAACTTTCTCGCCTTTTCATTGGAAAGGTTTATCCAAAAAGAAGGAAACGAATCTAGTTCACAAGGTGTTAAAAGGGAACTTGCATTTACATTTTCTTTCCCTGTCAAGCACACGTCTATATCTTCCGGAGTTCTAATCAAATGGACCAAAGGTTTTGAGATTAGTGAAATGGTTAGTAAGATAACACTTGCATTGATCTTTAGATTCTCTTCAACCATGACTTGGTTTTTCAGATAAAGTAGTGAGTCTTTGGATTTGATTAGTTATTTGGTAGCATTGTCTCTCCTATCAAAACATTATCTGATATCTGATATGATTTTGTGAAAATGTAATCCATCTCTTGGTATATGGTGGGAGTTTGACCTGTGCAACAAATTTAAAGTTATTTTGTCATAATTGTTATTTCAGGTCGGGAAAGACATAGCTGAATGTCTACAAGGAGCTTTGAACAGAAGAGGCCTTGATATCCACGTTTCAGCTCTTGTAAGTTCCCCTTGGACAAACTTTTGACGCTTTAGCAGAAAAGTTATCTATGTAACTGGCAGAAAAATCTTATTCAATGATGCTTTGTTCTAAATTCAGTTTTCTTTATTGAGCAGGTGAATGACACTGTTGGAGCCCTGTCACTTGGATATTATCATGATCCAGACACGGTTGTGGCGGTCGTATTTGGAACAGGTAGTAATGCGTGTTATTTGGAACGAACCGACGCCATAATCAAGTGTCAAGGTCTGCTTACAACTTCTGGAACAATGGTACTAACGGTGTATTAGAAAAAAACAAAGCTATCATGCTTCAGATTCCTTAGAGAAAATAAATGTTTTCTTATGTTTCAGGTGGTCAATATGGAGTGGGGAAATTTTTGGTCCTCACATTTGCCTAGAACTGCATATGACATTGACTTGGATGCAGAGAGTTCAAATCCAAACGATATGGTAGTAATCTTTGCTTATCCGTTGCATCATAAGTTATATCTTCAGGTGAGGACAAGCAGTGAGATGTAAATATCTTTTGGGGGTTTCGTTATATATATAATAGGGATTTGAGAAGATGATAGCAGGACTGTATCTGGGTGACATTGTTCGTAGAGTGATCCTTCGCATGTCACAAGAATCTGATATCTTTGGACCTTACTCGTCTGTGTTTTCTGAGCCTTACGTGCTAAGGTACACATATCATCTTTACCTCTCGCTGGAAACCTGGTTCTTATTCTAATTAGATGCTTAGTTCTCACGTTATGTATCTTCTGCGTCAACTATCTGTTTTTTTTTTGTTTCTCAGAACAAATGCTGTCTCAGCTATGCATGAAGATGACACACCGGAGTTGCAAGAAGTAGCAAGAATCTTGAAAGACTTAGGGGTAAGTTAAAGCTAATAATCCACTTGTTATGGAACTTGTTTTTTTAAAAAAATGTTATATGGAACATAAAGAAGGTTCACAAACAGGTATCAGATGTGCCATTGAAAGTGAGGAAAGTCGTGGTGAAAATATGCGATGTGGTGACGCGAAGAGCAGGGAGGCTAGCAGCAGCGGGAATAGCAGGGATCTTGAAGAAGATAGGTCGAGATGGTGGGGGAGGAATCACGAGCGGGAGGAGCAGAAGCGAAGTGCAGATGCAGAGAAGAACAGTTGTTGCAGTAGAAGGAGGTTTGTACATGAACTACACCATGTTTAGAGAATATATGGAGGAAGCTCTGGTTGAGATTTTAGGAGAAGAAGTGCGTCAGTACGTGGTCGTTAAAGCCATGGAAGATGGTTCTAGCATTGGCTCTGCTCTTCTCGTTGCCTCTTTACACTCATGATTATATATATATAATTGGTTTATGTCAGTGTGTGTCTCTCTCTGTGTATATACATTTATTCAATATTTGTTTGTTGTTAATTTATTATCATTGTTAAATAGACGCATATGTATAGGCTTGTGTGTAAATGTTTAGGAAGAACCTACTTACTCATCCACATTAAAAAGTAATGTGATCATATTTCAAGTGAAGGAAATTGGAATCAGAAAAAGCTTCATCATTTGGTGAGCTAGGAACAAATTCAGAAAGATCCCTGATATCACTATTTGACTCAAAATTATAATTGTTTACAGAGAAACAAATAATAAAAGCAAACAATCAATGTGTTGATATTTCAGACGAATCATGCAGTGAGAGGCTTGTAGAGCTTCTCAACCATCTTCCTATACTCTGCAAAGGGAAACAAAAGAGACCTAAGAACTCACAAGGGAGGAACTTAGAAGATGAATGTGAATCTGCATTTTTATTGTTTCTTACCTTCTTGGTTGCTCCAGAGCTGAGCTGCTTGAGTGTTCAATGGTGAGCTTATGTTCGGTTCTGAACAACAACACACACACACACACACACACTTAGGTATTAGATTAACCAACCAAAGGGATTACAAGCAAAAGAAAACAAAAGGTAAATTACCTCCAAGAAGGCTCTGGATCGATAGTAGTATTGTCCTCACATCATAAGCAGATGACCATTTATCCTGCCCAAAAAACAAAATGTGAAAAAACTGATTTTGTGTAGTAGACAAGACACAGTGGAAAAGGTTACCTGAAGAATGTCCAAGCAGATGTTGCCATAGAGATCAACATTGGGGTGGAAGCAACAAGTCTCGAAGTTGATCTTTGGAGGTTTAAAAGGATAGTCATTAGAGAAAGAGAGTGAGAGTCTGTACTCAGTTCCTTCAAAGACAGTCTCTTTGCTTCCTTTTATTGTCCCTTTCCAACAGAAGATGTTGTCTTCCTCCGGGAAAGCCGAGACTCCCGGCTCACCACCCATCTTAAAAAAATAAAAAACAACCCAAGTCAAGACCCCATCCATATATAAGCATCCTAACAACAAGAAAAAGTGAAAGAAAGAAAGATGAGAACTTACCATCAAGCCCATTAGCTCAGATTGCAGCCTGAAGAGAATCAAGAATCAAGATTTGAGGAATATAGAGTGGAACCATGAAACACCAAGAATCAAGAAAGGAAGAACCTTTTGAGAACAGATTGGCTGTCAACAGTCTTGGTCGGAGACGCAGGTAGCTTTGACGCCGGAGGATCTGCCGGAGTGTTTCCATTTACGGCGGACATGACTTTCTTCTCTTCTTCCTGGTGTCTGCGACTGCGAGAGAGGAGGATAATCGATCCAATTGTCTCCGAGGTTATAAAGCGGCGCCCGAGGTATTGGAAACGACGTCACTTTAGTGAGACTCGACGACGTTAGTTGTTGAGAAATATATTATTTTTTAAGCAAGCGGGCGCTTAGAGACATTCGAAATCCGCTTATCCAACGGCTATTTTTCACCCTCTTTCTTTTTTCTTTTTCTTTTTCTTTTCTTGTACAATTTTTGTTTTCTTTCTCAATTGCAAAAGAAAGAGAAATTGCATTGTATAATAATGTTCTAATAAATCTATAATAGGTAATTGGGTTGGATCGCTAAAAATCGTATAGAATATTTAAAAAATATAACTAAAAAAGAGTTACTGTTAAATTACTATATCATATACTATGGTTTCGAATGGATGATGCAGATCAAAACAAAAATGCAGATCAAACTGAACAAATGATGATCAAGCATAACAAATGTATATCTACCAGATCAAGTTAATTATTATAAATTATTATATTAAGATAAATGCGAAATATTTTTAATGAAAACTAAATATCTAAATAACATAAAATTTATTATAAATATTAATAAATATCACGTTGACACAAATAATAGTAAACATCTTCATTTTAATAAATATAGTGAAATTTAAAATTATATGAAATTTCCTCACAACTAAAAATTATAAAGAGTATTCTTGTTATGCTCTTATTTTTTTGTATCTTTATTCAATTTTCATTCTTTTTTTACCATTTCGTTCAACTATAAACTAATAATTTTATATATTTTCTTGTATCTACGAATCTTCATTTAAAATATTATAAAATAAAATGCAAACATGTATATGTAAGAACAAAAAAATATGTTTGATATTTATTGATATTACGTAATTATAAATAAATTTTAACATTTAAAATTTATATGCAGTTAAAATATTAATTATCAAATATGAAAGTATATACATAAATTTATTAAACGAACTTATATGAATATATAAATTACTTTTGAGTATATAATACATGTTTTTTATACTGATTACATATTTAAAAGGACACAAAACATATATAACATACTCACTAAATATATTATTTTAAATAATATAAAAGATAATATATAGAAGGATATATATATATATATATATATGTTACATATTTTTTTTATAAATAATTCATCTAACAATAAATTACTACCAAAGTATGAGAAATGAATATTTTAAAATTTATATTTAGTGTAAAAACTGTAATTATTTTATTTATGTTAATCATCATCAATAAGAAGAATAGAATCATTTATAGCATATATATATTTTTATTTATCTAAAATAAATATTATTTAGTATTGTTGTTTGGTATCATTATATATAAAGATTATTAGTGTTGTTATTTGGTTTATGAACAAAAAATAAAGGAGTATATAAATTTATATGTAAAAAGAAAAAAAACACGCATTGGGCCTCAGCATTTGATAGACACTTTTTTCCTCGTATTTGTAGTACAATATTTTACACATAAATTAATTTGCATACAGTTCATTTAATATTTTACTAGGATAAGACCCGCGTCTTGCGCGAGATGAAGTTATTATTTTTATTATGTTTTGAAAAATGAAACAAAAGTTCGGTTTCATCTAGATTAAGGATGTTCAATCTGGATATCGGGTTTCAGTATTCTGGTTATTAAAATATAACAACTATTCTAAATCCATATTTACTTCAGTTTGGTTTGGTTTATATATTGGTTTTCAGTTTATTCAATTTGATACCAAAATACATCATTATTTAGTTTGAAATCATATTATATATTATAAAAATAAATAATATGATCATATTTAGAGTCGTATTGTCAAAAAATCATTTACTAAAAAAAATATTATATATTTAACTAAAAGAATAAAAAACAAAAAGGCTTATATGATCTAATAAAATGATCAAATCTAGAATTAATATCATCTCTAAATTTTGAAAATAAAAATAAAAACAAAACAGAAGTATGAAAGAAAAGTTTTTATATTCTTCCATATTTAGTGTTCATCAAATTAATATGTCTTCGATCGAACACAACTCTGTTTGTTTAAAGATTAAAAAAAATTGTAAAGAATTTCAACTAATTGTTGTCCATCAAATTTATAATTTTTACTTCAATTTAGTTTTTATTAAAAAAAATAAAAAATATCAAAATAAAAAGACGAAGAAAATAAGAAGCATCAGTTGCATTAAATTGTTTGTTAATTATATTTCAAGTGATTTAAAAATTTAATTATAGTTCAACTCATGTAACAAATAGATATACATATTTACATGTTTCAGTTTAATCGATTATAAATAACACCATATCCAAATCTTACAGTTTTTATAAAATCACATACATTCAGTTTGTATGGTGTATACCAAAAATAACCATATTATCGATTGTATTAATATCTTTAAAAATAGAAAATTAAAAAAAGAACTAATATATTTTAATCATTGATAACAAAAATTTTCAATGTGAAAAAATTAATACGTTTATAATTTATAAATGTTCTTGAAAATTCATTGAAATTTTTGAAATTAAAATAAGTATGTAATCTTATATGGTATATAGTTTAATCTATATATGTATATATTATTGAATTATACTTTTTACTCATATGGTTTTAAAATCTTGTGTATCTTTTTATAATAAAAATGTTAAACTATTGATCATTAATTTTTAACATAATATTTTTAATAGTTTTAGTAATTTGTTCTTGGTTTTTTTAATTCAAAATATAACATATACGAAAAAAATCTAAAGTTTAATTTTATAGCTAATTTGACTGTTTGATTTATTTTAATAATATAAAATTAAAGAAAATGATGGAGGAGATACAAATTGTTATCAAATATTTATTATTAGAAACATTAATTGTCATATACATATATTTGTCATTTATGGTAATTTCGTAGCTTTTATTTAAGGAAAGAAAATAAAATAGTAATTATGTATAAATTTATTTTAAAATGAAACAACATACTAATTTTTTTTAATCTTTTTGTGAATTATTATTAATTTTATGATACTTTTTTCTTGAAACTAAACTCTCAAAAAAATTTATTTGACTAAATTAAATAAAGTAATACTATATTTTAAAATTGTTTTATATAAAATATACTATAATGTAACTGATATGTCTATATAATTAATAACACCATCAGTTTTGGGAATGTAATTAATTAAGTTAAGTTCAATTTAAATGCAGCAAGTGTCATTGAGTGGTTGTGTCTTAGTTTGACTTGAATCAAGTGTCACTAAACTGTGTGATTAACATCTTGTACATGAAATGAAGGGACGAAAAAGAAGGCGTCCATCTACTATAGGTGGAGCTTCCAGTAGAACTAGAGCTAGAAAGGCGTTTTCAGATGGGAATGAGCCGGTAGGAGAAGAGGTAGACCAGCAAGATAGTACGCCAGTGAGAAAAATCACTGTAGTTTCGCTTTCAATTGATACAGAGAGTGAAGACATGTCTGATGTATCATCTAAGATATTTTTTGCATTCATTTTAATCATTGTTAATGAGAAAGTATACTAGTTTTAGTAGCAACAAATGACTAATACATTTATATTATGATTGTAGGTAAGGCAATCACATCAGCCCCTTGAATTTCACTTCACGAGCACAGAGTTCACGAAGACTTGCAAAATTCAAACCAAGTGCTTAGTGAAGAACACAGTCGAGGTTATTAAGAATCTTAAGGAGGAGGTCAAATGGTTCACAAGCCATCCTCAGTTTCTTCATTTCTTCCACATGCCTAATGAAGAAAGTTTCTTCATTTCTTCCACATGCCTACTGAAGAAAACCTGAAGCTGTAAGGAATGTGGATGTTACTCTTGCGCACCATTTGTACTGAAGAAGAAAATGTTGTATGGTTTGTTGTGAATGGTGTGCCCATCTGCTATACTATGAGGGAGCATGCCCTAATTTTTTATTTAGACTGCCATAATTATCCGAAAAAATATTTGAAGCTCGGAGGTACTAGTTTTATGAATTATTACTTCGGGGGACTAAAGAGAATCACCATAACATATGTGGAGCACAAGCTATTGTCTCTGAAGTCGCCATGTAACGATATATTGAAGATGGCTATCTTGTTATTCCTTGGTCGGATTATCAGAGGACATGCAAAGGATTCCGGATCAGTAGACCCGTTCATCTTAAGGATGTGGAAGATTTGGATGTTTGCAGAACATTTCTTTGGGGTCGTCTAATATTTGAAGATGAAATAAAGAAAATCAAGCATATGAGGGAGCTTTTGAAGGGTGAAGCGCAAAACCCTTCTCCTAAAATTTAAACCCTAAATATATATACTTAATCGTATATATTAACTACTCGTTTACCTATTTAATGAATCATTTTGACCATTTAACCCTTATCTTTATTAAATATTTAAAAATTTAAGTTTTATTTTAAGATAGTATGAATATGTATTATATCATATACTAAGATTTATGGTTTAGTGATCAGGGTTCAGCTTTCTAGACATTAACTTAAGATACATATTCCTTAAATTTCAGAAAGTAAATATAGTAAATCTGAACATGATGCCTCAAAAATAGAAACATATCAAGTGTTTCAGTCTTGAATTTGAGTTCATTCAGATCCTGACAATCTTACGCACTTCACAGGCCATTAAATAAAATTTGAACTTGACCCGCATCCCCGTGCAGTGTTCAATGTAAACTCATAAATCGATGTTTTTATAAAATATATATATATATATATATATATATTTATGTTTTGTAATTTACATAAAAAGTAGTATATATTATTTTATAATATAAATGTTTAGTAAAACTTAATTTTGTAAATAATATTATATTAAATTTTATTATAACTTGAAGCAATTTGATGTAATTGTACTATTTATATATCAACATGTTTTTTATAATTTATTTTAAAATGAAAGAACATACTAACAATTAATTTTTACATTAGTTTTCTATGAATTATCATTAATTTCATGATATTGTCTTCTTGAAAATTGAGTCTCGAAATTTTATATTGACTAAATTAAATAAGATAAATACTATATTTTAATATTATTTTATATAATATAGATTATATA